AGATTAACGATGGGTCCCAGATGTTACCTACAGTAGATGTCAGTGCGGAGGGGAGGGGGAGATGGATCCCAGATGTCAGCGCTCCTCGGGGAAGATGGATCCCAGATGTCAGCGCTCCTCAAACCTGCTCAGCTACAGTGAGGGGCCATCGAAAATGGCAGATATAAAACTAACCATCCATGTGCGAGCGTCCTATCCCAGCTGTCACTATGGTTCTTAGGCTTCCTGCCAGGAACCTAGCTAGACACTGGAGTCCCATCCCGGGGTCTCTTGCACTAGCCCGAGACTTGTGTAACTCCACTGACCTCAGCAAGTTCCTCCAGATCGCTGTCCGGGTAACTGATCAGCCCCAGAAGGAATGCCAGAGGGGGACCTGCTGCTTGCCAGGCAGGGTAGAGAGTGGCCCCTCCTGTCAAGAAGCTGCAACTGCAGACACCCCCTGCCTGGCTTGGTCCAGCTGCCTGGCTTGCAGGTGGCAGGGAGACTGAGCAATGGCGTAGGGCCCTGAGCAGCTCAAGGCAGGGAGACCAGAGGTCCTGGTTTTAAAGGGACAGTCCCATATTTAAGCCCTCCTGCAGCTAGCCAGCCAGGCAGGGAGAGTGGAGAACAGCAGGCCAGGAGGGTTGGTCACCTAGGAGCCCAGCAAGCTGTGGCAGTGTTGCCAATGCGGCTAGACCATCGTGGGCTGGAAAATTCTCTGGTGCGGCACGGGCCAGTTCCTGAGATTGTCACTAGAGAGGGCCGGTCTGTACAAATAACCACCCGTGTAGGGGACGATTTGTCCCATTCCTTGGGGTTTGCTGTAACTGAGCAATGTCAGCGTGGCCCTTGGAGCCGCGGCCAGATCGGACACTGAGCTGGGGCAGCATCCCTCCCAACTGGGTGTCTGGCTCCACCCTGGACACAGGAGCCAGTGTCCTCATTTCATAGCTCCCGCTGCAGCCTCCAGGCCAGGCCCTTACTCACGCAAAGCATCTGGGAGCTTTGCCCGAGCCAAATGCAGAAAGGCAGCTTCATCCCCCACCTCCTGGCCAGGGAGTGCGGTCTCAGACGGGAAGAGGGGGCTGCCTCCTCCATGTCCTACCTGTGCCATTCCAGGGTCTTTGGCGAGAGCACTGAGTTCTCTGTGGGCACGGCCACCTTCCTTGCATGAGAAGATGCAGCAGGACCCCTTGGGTTTGGGTTAGCACAGAGTCAGCAGGGTCCCAGAACGATGCTGCCCATGGCATGTCAGTGGGTAGGCAGACAGCAACGCTGCCAGCTGAGCGAATGGAGCATCCCCTTGCCCCTCCGGTCTGCTCAGCATGGGCCCCACGAGCTTTTATGTACTGTGCAAACTTCCATTTGTTGGGGCAGGTTTCTGAGGCCGTTCAAGTCTCTGTGGGCGTGTCTATGCAAGAAACTTGCAGCAGTTTCGCAGGAGCATCGGGATCTCCTAGCGGTTAGGGCACATGCCTGGGAATTGAGAGAAAGAGAGACCCCACCATCAAGCTCCTGCTGTGTCGGAGCCTTTCTGGGCGACCTTGGTTGAGTCACTTAGTCTCACGCCTGGATCCACCAAAGGGGGTTAGGCGTTGTGATGCTGAGCATCAGGGTGCCTCGAAAAACCACAGGAACCGTGTTAAATTCCACCCAACCGAGTCAGGCGCCGTACACAGCATAAGTGGAGAACAGGAACTATCGAATGTGGTCCACAAAGGCGGCATGGGAGCTGGCCAATGGGAGACATCAATGAGATTGCTCAGCCCTCTCCTTCGCTGAGCATGGCGCTCAGTCCGGGTTGCCAGGAGGCACCTGGATCTGCTTGTGCTTCACAAAGTTTGGGTGGCCAATCTGCTCCATGCAGTAGGAAGCCTCCGCACAAAACAGCGGGGCCACCCTGATTAGGTCAGTGTTAGGGCGTGCGCAGCAAGGAGCCCAGTTCAAACACTTACCCCAGTTCATCCGGCAGAGAGGGACTTGAATCACGAGTCACCCTAGGCCCTCCTCTGTTTTGTGAACTGCTCTGGGGCTTAGGTGGGAGGTAGAGATGCACTGAGTATGCTCAGGGGCAAAAACATAGGCACCGAGGGTACTGGTACTCCCAAAATTTAAGCACCACGTAATTTTAGGGGCCTACAGGGTCAGGTGGCAACTGTGCCTCAGTTTCCCCCCCATACAATGGGGATTATAGCAGGCCTGCCTTCCAGTCATGTAGGAGGACAAATACAGCAGAGATTGTGAGGTTCTCACAGCCTACAAGGTTGGGGCCTATATGTGTGGAGATTCAAGGTCCATTCTGGTCTGTATTAATGTCAATGTATCAGCCATCCAGGCTGCCTGTCCCTAAAGGGACATCCACCCTGCAGACAGAGAGGTCTGATTGCTGCATGGCTGACACCTGTTGTGATCTAGCTAGTGAATCTGCAGCCGCTCACATGGACCCATGTGCTGGATCTGACTGTACCGATTTCATACCCGTCTTCCACGGCAGGGCAGCATCTGCGGCTTCCTTACCCCCCATCCCATTGCTCCCACCAAAAGGTGAAGGTTGGTGAAAGCCTCACACCTTGTTATCCTGCATAAAACTGGGCTTAATTCTGTCAGCCACGGCTCAAATGCACAAGGATTGCTCAAAGTGTATTAGTAGTAAAGACTCCACTAGAAATCGGGTTCCTGTTGTGCTGTGTACACTGTGTAAGAGGCCATCCCTGACCTGGGAAGTTTTCAGGCTACATGGTCAAATCAGGATTATCATCCTCCTCCTACAAAGGGAAACTGAGGCACAGAGCTTGTGCTTGCCCCGTGTCACACAAGACACCTGTAACTGAGATGGAATTTGGAGCCAGATCTTCTGAGACTCAGCTCATTTCTTTAACCACACCACCAGCCTCCTCTTAGTCACTTCTCTTTATGTTCTGGGGGATAATCTACCTTCTGTGGCATCTATTTCATTTCTTAAGGTTTAAAGCTAGAGGGGGTAATCTTCCTTCCGTGGCATCTTTTTCCTTTATTTTAGTGTGGGTGGGGGGGGGGGGGGGGGGGGAGAATCAATGATTTTTCCCTGGAAATTTTGAAAAATGTATACTTTTTAAACTTAGTGACATTTCTTTTTTATGAAAATTGAATATGAAAACGATTAGCATTTGAAAACCATGTTTGGTGAAGGTTTGGCTTGGGGGTGGAGATATCAGTTTTAAAACAAAATAAAAAATATTTATTACACTGGAAAAGAAAATATCTTACCCCCAAAAATTATAGCGCTTGGTTTCAACCTCTCTCTCACACACACACAAATGTTCAACAAAACTGAAATTCCCACAAATTATTTTGTTTTGGTCAAAAAGCTATTAATTGTCCAAAAATATTTTGATGAAAAAGCAAAACTACCCTGCTTATTTAAGATGGGTAAAAAGAGTAGATCTCATTGCAGCTGCAGTGAAGTTGGAGGATATCACTGATTTTTGGTAGTTTTTGCTGTTGGTAGAGTTGGAAGAATTTGGACAGTTCAGTTTCCTGTCATAAAATACAATTTTATCAGAATTTAAACATGTCACAGGATTGTGTCAATTAAAACAAAAAAATTGACAGGAAAAAGTTGAAACATGCCATTTTGTTTTTCCTGCTTCCTTTCAATAAGATTTGCTTTGACTTCATCATTTTGAGTCATTTAGTTTTGACTTCTGTCAAATGAAAATTTTCATTTAATATTAAACTAAAGTAACAGCTAATATTCAGTATAATACACAAGATGTTCCACATTTTATATTATGATGTTTTGGCATCAAAATGAAATGTTTGCACCTCATTGAAATGAAACGGTTTGACATTACAATGAAACGGTTTGACATTACTGAAACAAAACCTTTCAGCTATTCGGAATGGAAACATTTCAGAATTTTGGTTCCAGGAGACATTTCAAAATGTTGTCCTTTCCTTTCAATTTAGAGCAAAACTAAATTTCAGAGGCTGAAGTTTTCACGGACCAGAATTTCTAATTTCTGACCAGCTCCAGTTATTGGGTTTTCATTACTATAATAGTTGGACGAAAATCTGAACTTCTGCGATCCAAAGAACATGGCCTGTGTTCTGAGCAATGGTCTAACAGATGCTTCCTCTCAGTCCTCCCTCTCTCTTTGTTTCAGAGATGGGGTCTTTGGTTTCAAGGTCAGGCGTCCATATTTTATCCAGGAGCCCACGAACTCAGTCATTCCTAGCTGGTGGGTCTATATGCAATAAGATGATAGATCTGAGTCCAGTTTCATTGTTAGAAACAAAATACAGGACTATGCAGCACTTTAAAGACTAACAAGATGGTTTATTAGGTGAGGAGCTTTCGTGGGCCAGACCCACTTCCTCAGATCAAATAGTGGAAGAAAATTGTCACAACCATATATACCAAAGGATACAATTAACAAAAATGAACACACATGAAAAGGACAAATCAAATTTCAGAACAGAAGGGGGATGGGGGGGAAGGTAAATGTCTGTGAGTTAATGATATTAGAGGTGATAATTGGGGAAACTATCTTTGTAATGGGTAAGATAATTAGATCCTTTATTCAGACTCAGGTGTAAAGTGTCAAATTTTAGCACAAATAACAGTTCAGAGGATTCTCTTTCAAGTGCAGTCTTAAAAGGCTTTTGAAGCAGGATGCAGGTAATTAAGTCGTTGAGACAATGTCCTTTCTGGTTGAATGGCAAGAAACTGTTTTTTCTTTGTGATCCTGTCTGATATCTGTTTTGTGGGCATTGATCCTTTGGCGAAGTGTCTGAACAGGTAGTTGGCAATATTAGCTGAGGGACAAAGGTTTGAGTTGAGCAGAAATGAAATATCCTCCAGGTTTCAAACACGGTTGCACTATGGCTTCTCCTTGCTTTAGTTGCTTTCTACAGGCTCACTCTCTGGGGCTGTCAATTTCTCATGCCAGCAGCAAGAAACCCACTTAATTAAGTATGTGGGACCATCAGGCAACGCCAGTGAACCTCTTCCTCATCCGCACTGTTTCTTCCCCCCCCAGACGCCTGGATGCAAACCTGATTTCCGTGGTGCCCGAGAGGAGCTTTGAGGGGCTGTCCTCCCTACGTCACTTGTGGCTGGATGATAACGCCCTGACAGAACTCCCTGTCCAGGCTCTCAACAACCTTCCAACCCTGCAGGCCATGACGCTGGCTCTCAACCTGATCTGGCACATTCCGGACTACGCCTTCCAAAACCTCAGCAGCCTCGTTGTACTGTAAGCTCCCTGCAGTCACTGTACACTGACAGGCCCTGCCTTTTTCGGATATTGCGATGTACAGCAATATGCGAGTGTGTGAGAATGTACAATGCCACTCTCTAGTGGCCAGGCCAAGATGATGGCTGATGGGAATAAAAGACCAATAGCTTCTGCCATAGAAGGGAGAGCTCAATTTTTTCCAAGTTGAGCTGATTTTAAAAATGCAAATTATTTGCCAAATGAATTTTTTAAATTTGTTTTTCTTCCTAAATTTTCCACATTTCCCCCCCTAGTGTTTCAAGGAAAAGCCAAGAAGGTTTCCTTTTTTGGAAAACTGGTTTGTGTGAAAATGTTCGGGTTTTGCAAACCAAGACCCCACATATTTCATTGCAAATGTGTACCCAAAAAAGTGTCTGGGTTTTCATTTAAAACATTTGGAAAATTTCTGCCATGGTTTCTTTGAAACTTTTTGGTTTTCTCAATAAGCCCTTTTTGGTTGGGGAAAAAAATGGATCAAAAACTTTCTTAATCCTCCTTGCTGAGAGGTGATGTAGTAGAGCATTTCTGATCTCAGCTTCCTCTCACACGCATGCTATGCTAACATGACCAGTGGCTTTATAATTATTCTTTGAAATAATCCTAAACCTATTTGGTATTTGCGAGAGTCTTTGTACTGTGCAATGTCAATGCAAAGACCTAATCTCCAGTATATTGAACAGTCTAGGAAATTGATGCTGTTTCTAATGACGGCTCCAGTCCAGATGGAAAACATTTATTTCACAGGCACTGAGAAACAGTAAACACTTTACTATCTGTAATTATATGGCAAACCAAAGCTTTTCATACTGGGAAGCATCCATTACATTAACAGGGGGCTTACATGTTATTGGTCTTCTAAATGGAAACTTACATCGGCAAATTAGTTGGCAGTTTATTGGCTGGTGTTGATTAGTGTCCTTGCGGAATAACCCAGAACCCCTGCATGTACACACAATATATACAGACTTGCTTATGGAATGTAAAATGGAGTGCTGCCTTTGTGACGGCGCGTTGGGGGTCCCCCGTCTCCTGCACCCCGAAATGGCACAAACAGACTGCCCCAGCCGGTGGAATAGAGGAAGTTTATTGCCTCTCCAGGATACAGCACAGCACAGATGGAATCTGGTCACAGAGCTGGGCTAGGATGCCTTGGGCCCCTAAACTCCAGCCCCTTTCCCTAGGCTGTCTCCTCCATGCTCCCAGACAGCAACTAACTAACTCTCTTCCAGCCCTGCCCCCCAGCCAGGGCAGCATCCACCTCCCTTTGTTCCTCTCCATGGGGGGTGTCTGGCCCTACTGGTTTGCATAGTGACTCATCCTGTTTTGCTGGGTCGTGGTACCCACGGCAGCCAGTGGGGGTTACCCCAGAGCCAGCAGCATAGAAACCAGCCAGGTACCCCCACTACGTCACAGCCTTATACACATGCTGTATAGCCAGCGATAACGTATCTGCATTTGGTGCTTGGGGATGCTTAGCCGCTGCTTAGGTCTCGGAACAAAAAGCATTTGCACAGAAATGTTTGGAAAATGCACTCTTTAAACTTATTGAATATTATTGACTTCGACTGCATAGATCAGGGGTGGGCAAAGCAAGTTTAGCCCCTGGCATGTCCCCATGGCTATATTTACCTGCACCTCCACAGGTACGGGCGATCGCAGCTCCCATTGGCTGCGGATCGACGTTCCCGGCCAATGGGTGCCACAGGAAGTTATTTTATCCCATTCGGCGCCATTTCCAGCTGCTCCCATTAGCCAGGAATGGCGGTTTGCAGCCAATGGGAGCTGCGATCACTGATACCTGCTGAGGCGCAGGTAAACATCGCATCAGCGGCCCTCCAGGGGCTAACCTTGGCGTACCACCACCGTTTTATTGCCCATGCCTGGCACAGAAGGAACATAAAGGCACCTTGGGGAGCAATCCTAAGAGCAGCTTGAGAAATTCAGATAACTGGTTTGTTTTCACATGGAATAGGGCCACATGTCATCCCAAGACACTTGCAGCCTTCAGTTCAACTGCTCATGTGAGGCCTTCAAGGCTTCCCTTACCTTTTGGGGGCTGTTGTCTTAACCTCAAACACATGCTGCTCTCAAAGTGGGAATCCCAGACCTGGGGTAGGAAGAAACTTTTTCACCCTGGTGGCACCGCAAAAGAGTCCTTGATCCCCAGACGGAAAGGAGCACCCTACCGCAGACAGCTGGGAGGGGACATGCGGGAGAGCCTGCCAGACATTGTGGGAGATCATTTTGGATTTTTATGGGGCTCACAAGTGTTTCGTAGCCACGCAAATTGCCGCTGTGTGCACAGAGCCAATAATTTCCCCCGGTCCGCACCTACCCCACAGAAGATCTGATGTTCTGCTTCTGAGCTGCCTTGCTCCCTGCTTTGGCTTGCTGGGAGGCAAAGAAACTTTTCAAAAGCTCCTCTTGCCAGACGGTAAAGGTTCCCCACAGCCATGCTAAGCGTATGTGTCTGTCCAGGTTGAATACTAATAGAGAGGTAGCCGTGTTCGTCTGATCTTGCTAAAACAAAAGGAAAAACTTTAAAGACTAACAAGATGATTTAATAGGTGATGGATGAGATTTCGTGGGCCAGACCCACTTCTTCAGATCATATTCTGGAAGAGACTTGGCATGACCATATATACCAAAGGAATACAATGAAAAAAGTGAACACATTATTAAACTGACAAATGGGATTTAGTACAGAAGGTGGGGTGAGGGAGAGAATAGTGGGATTGTACAGGTAGAAGAGAGGCTAGCTGCCTTCATAAAGTTAAGGACCCTTTTTGTCTGGGAATTGTTTAACACATGCACCTGTGGGCGAGGGAGTGCAGAGCAGATGTGGAGCGGGACTGGGGAAATGCTGTCATTGACAGGCCAATTAACACTCGCAGACACATCCTCATCCTCATCCGCAGTTTTGTAGCTGAGAACATGACCTTCCCAGAGGCAGCAACGTGTTTTCCTGCTAGACACACCGTGGGCCTTTAGGAAAACACAGCTGATTGTTCGGCTGGGAGGGACCCACAGCAAAATATACCTGCCTCAATCTGGAAAAAGTTAAGGACTGCAGCCTTTGCCTAGAATTGCTCCCCACCCCCACTGGGGAATTCCCTGACTGTTCCCACGTCTAGTGCAAGTTTGTAGGAAGAGTTGCAGAGTGTTTTGAAAGCAGGGTCCCGTGGAATCACTCCACCCTGAGATCTAGGATTCAGAAGCTTGACAATTGTCCAGACCCCTTCCCTGCCTTCGAAAACTGCGGTGAGCGTTAGTGCAATGAGGTGGAGGGTGGGGATGGGGGGGGG